TGCCGGTCTGTGCCGTTCTTCGTCATTCTTCAGTCAACAGTAAACTGATGAAAGCCCCCAACCCCCAATATTTTTCAATCACAAAAAATCCTACCAACACTTGATAAAATTATGAAAAACGCTTATTATAAAATATGCTCCACTAATCCGCCGATTTAGACCTTTTTACTCACCGACATTAGTCCATCACTAAGTGAAAAACTTGAACTCAATTTTTGGGTGTAAATACTTATTTGTTTCCAACCTTTCGTCACATTACCAGTCTTTAAAAGGCCCCAAAAATGCAAATTCAAATTACAAGTGGACATTTGACAATACAATTACAAGTGGACGTTTGACAATACAATTACAAGTTATGGAAACCAAGAACTGTGAGTTAAGTCACTCTCAGAGGTCACAAGTGAAGAGATTTTACTACGTAAATAATATTAAATGAATGTAAGATAATCAACCAAATAATTATAATATAGTCATGCTTCTATTCTTCAGCGCCGGCTTCACTATGAATATGATACGATATGATATTAGTGATCATATGACACCGCGAAATAACTATTGACCGCTTTGTTGCCGTCTGCAAATGGCTCAAAATTAGAAGGAAATCATTAAACAATTAGGCTGGTAATTTATTGATATGTCAAGAACTGTGATGAAGAAGAATAATAATGGTGATCCTCGCGTCATCAGTTTCGTCACGCCTACGCTTTATTTTCAATTCATGTGGATTGTGGAACGGTGAGAATTTAAGCTTTCAATTCCTGTGGAAAGGTGAGAAGTTTCTTCGCACTGTTGCCGACTGCCGAGCCGAGTCTGGGGCTGGACTCGGGGAGAGTGGGAGACTGGGACTCTGGGAAGCGGCCAGTGGGAAAGCTTCAGCCCGCTGAAGGTTACGTAGCGTCTTAGCCTAACGTAGGTATAGTCGTAGACGACTCCTGCTACTGCCAGACGCCAGTCAGTCGTTAAAATTGCTGGCATGTGAGTTGGTGGATTGAAATAATGTATGAACCTTCAATTTTCAAAATTAGAATTGACATGTCCGCGGTCCGCCGTCAGGTAACTCATCTCAGTTCTTGTTAATTTTCATCGATAGGACCGTGGCGTAGGTCGTGCAGGTGCCTGGCAATTTACATAGTCATTTATTTAGCAATCTTCATAGCCTTATTGTGCCAAAATATGATGACAAAAAATGACCTGTGGACCAAAAATAATTTAAGCATGCATGTCAACTGCAACTTTGGATTAAATTGGATAAGACCAGAATACATGACTTTGAAGCTGCATGATTTGATAGGTACCTAGCCTAACCTAGCCTCCTAGCCTCCTAGGTACTTGAATTTTGTGATATTATAGCAACAATCTTTTAGAAAAAGTAGGATTTTTTTCAATCCTATGGGAACATATGTTATCTTATTCACTTATTGTTCAACTATAAAGACAAACATTTACTTTCATCCTGGAGGACACATCCTAAATTATATAAATTACAATGAGCAGAAATTAATTTGTATGTCTCATCAGGAATTATTTTCTATCTGCAACCTGCAGGCTGAAACGAGTTTTTTTTAATCTTGATGATTGTTGTTTTATTCTATTCACACCAGTTAGTATTGGATTCTAGAAATATTGGTTCATATTTTCAATATTGAAAATGCCAGGTCATTTGCTTGGTTCAATGGTTTTGATATTCAAGTTATGAAGGAAGGTCTTGTGTCAAGTTTTTTGTCCGATATACCGTACCCTATTGAATTAGGAATTCAACTCATGGCAGTTGCAACTAAATCTGTTCATTCAATGATTATTTATATAAAAATTCTAAATTTGTTATCGATCATTTCTGATTCTGAATTGATATGACCATTTATTTTCACCTAAAGTTAGCTTCAGTATTCTGAAATATTAATGTAACATTAAATAGGCACTTAGCAAAAATAGACACTTTTAGTACCTACATCACTATCCAGAAGTGATGTTACTTTTCTCTGGCTCAACCATGCTCATAATGGATTGCATGTTCTGGAAGTTATTTATATAACTGTTGGCCACCATTTTATTACATAGTGTAGGTATCCTTTTGCTCAAATCTCAATAGGTTATTTTATTAGAGATGATTTTCAACTTGTCACATTCGTGAAAATTTGAAATATATCATAAATACGCAATAACTTTTCATGCCATGGACTGATTCAATATATGTTGGTCAGTTTTATTTTATTTTATATAATATATATATCCTGCTACGTTTTTGGTGCATCTTGAAAATTTTTCAAAATCCACCAAGTTGTGCTTCACATTTTTAGACGTCATTACTTTTCAATCATTTGACTCCATTTTACTAAGATTTGCTAAGTAGTTTTAGGGTCTCCTGATTCTTTACATAGAATATTCATACATAAAGATAATGAGATTTAACTGGTAAGTTACTCTTTACTTCTACAAACTGCTTTGTGCTTATTCTGTTTTGAATATTTGTTCATGGAATGATGTGATGTCAATTGTAATATTATGATGTTATTATCACTGCAGTTGTCTTGAGAATAGGCTGAAGAGTTCTTAGTGAAGTATTCCAGTTCATAATGTATAATAAGCCTGGTTAGTGCATTTGTAAAGCTCATGTTCAAATAATACAACTATGGCTCACATTCAGCATCTTGATGACCTTGTCAAAGAGTATCTGCTCTTCCGAGGCTTCAGTCAGAGTTTGAAAACATTTGAAAATGATCTCAAGATTGACAAGGACAAAGGATTCAGGGTGAGTTCATTATAATCAATTTAATGTAATCAATTTTATTTATCAGCTGCTTCATCCTGCATGTAAATTTTGTATCTCTGAAAGCAGTTTCCTATACATGCTCTAAACTAAAAACAATATAGGTACCATAAAATGGGGTAACTTAGACCACTTTTTTTTTTATATAAATGATGCCATTTTTTTTTACTAGCTAAATTAAACTTGAATTGAAACATGCAAAATACAGGTCTATACTCTAGCTTCACTCACCATAAATTGCTGGCTCCTGCCTCTCATAGTCTTTATGTAATTTCAAAAAAAGTGAAGGTCTTTGTTACCCCAGCTCTTGGGGTATCTTAGACCAGGTGGTAAAATCAATTATATATTTTTGTAAAATAACTCCAAATAACTCCAGGTTATGGTGCATTGTAGTAGAACTCTTCTAGTTACATATGCAAATGACAAACTTGAGGAAAGTGTCATAGTTTGCAAATGGGGGGCATTTAACCAAAAAATAAAAAAATTGGAGGAGGTACTCTGACAGGCTTTAAATAATAGCTTTTTTTCGTGGGTCACATTTTTAATTTTTAACCTATTAGATATGCAAACTTTTTAAATCTTTCTATTGTGTTATGTAGCCTCAGTATTAGGCCTTTAGTGCCCATTGACAAAATTTTTCTATGTCAAATAGTTTTTGAGTTTTGGGGGTTTTTGTTAAAAAAACGAAAAGTGGTCTAAGTTACCCCGCCGGTCTAAGTTACCCTATTTTACGGTATGTACTTAACTATTTTAGCTTCTCCATCAGTTTAATGTTATAAATGCTCATTATTACCTTAATTTCTTTTTCATTGTCACATATAAATGTCTGAGCATGCAATTGCAATAAGATTAGTCCCATATGTATTTTTTCAACTCTTCATAATTATTTAATTTTAAAATTGTTGGCATAGAAAGATGCATACTTTTCTGTAGGTATTTTTTTGACAAAATTTGTCTTGCTTGATTATTAATTAAGTATGATGAATACATGTATGGGAAGCATCTATTATGCAATAAATTGAATCTAAATGCAAACTTAGATGTTGAATCCTTCTAGGTTGATCGACTTACTGATCAAATTATGAGCTACATTCAAACGTATGATCTTCAAGGGCTCCGAGATCTCTGGAACCATTTTGACAGGAGGATCTTCACTCGCCTCAGTCCTTCAATGCAACCTTGTAAGAACATAGCTACCTATGTTGATTTTTCTGTTCTCATCTATGTATAGGTATAGATATGAAAAAAATGATTTTCATACTAATTTTTTTTCAAATTTAAGCTTTTCAATAATATAAACATCTGCTTGCAGATGTGCGCAAGCTGGAGACGAGTGTGCTGAGACTGTATGTGGTCAACACTCTTCAGACAAACAAAGTTGACAAATTGCATGAGTTTTTTGACAAGATGGCTCCTGAACTTCAGACATCGCCAGAGTGGAGAGACTGGTTTGGTAATATCCTGCGAGGGAGAATTAGCACCACCCTGCATGTACCAGCAAAACAATTGGGAAACATTTGTTCAAACAGTTACTTAGCTAAATGGTCAGAATATGCATTTCTTTTCATTTGGCCAACCTCACAAGTCTCGGCTCTTGATCTATTTGGATCTGTATTGTACGATTTCTGATTGGTTGAAATTGTTGTGTAATGATGTAATAAAAAATTAGTGTAATTACAAATACCAATTCACAATAAGATATTGATCCACTAGTTCCATTGTAAATATCTTAATTTCCATTCTATAAAGCTACCCTCGCGAGTCACATACAATTCAGTAGTTTAGGATAGAGAAGAAAGATGAATTAATTTACTCCGTCCTGAATTTGAAAGCCTGAGGTACAATGAAATTGAGGGCAAAATAATGGTGTTGATTGTTAACTAAGTAAAGAGATAGTGAGTGATATAAATATTAAGCATGTCAAAGAAACATTATTTAAATTTATTTCAGTGCTGCCATATCTGAAAGGGGCTGAAGATAACCCCACATTTGCCATGTACTTCAGTCGTCAGTGGCAAGACACCCTCATGGTCTCTCTCACCAACTTTCTATCTGTTGTTTTTCAGGTAAAACTCCTCCTATCTAATTAACATGAGCAAAAAATCAATGCCAATCATTGTATTCTAATGTAAAACTGACTGTGTGGAAAATGAGTTTTTATCATGATCGATGTTATGGTTGCTGTTCATGGACATTTGATGAACCTACATTCTTTGCAGTTTGTATTTGCACATCTATTCCGGTATTGATATGTACATTACTCATTTTAAGCCATATTCTAATGAAATTCACGTTCTTGTGACAGAACTTACAGCTGCCAACATTGGCACGTCACGAGGAAGAGAGCGAGTATATCAGATCACTGCAAGAAGAGGCAGAACAGCTTCGTGTGCGGCTCAATGCAGCTCTTTCCGCCACGCCTCCTGCTCCAGGTGTGGCAATGATGCTTCCTGCTCCATGCTGAACTTGGCGAGCAATTCTCTGCAAAAATGTACTAAATAGAGAAACTTGTCAATGATGCGAGTCATGTTTGTTGACGAATTTGATCCTAATAATCTAATGGAATAATGATAATGTAATTTAATAATATTGCCAATAATCTATTGCTGAATTCATGTCTAATTGTATTTTTACTGCTGCAGGTAAGACGTCTCGACTGCTGATTATTGGGGACTCGCGAGTCAAATTCTGGCCATCAGAATCCAGTTGCTCAAGTAATGCTCTCGTGGTGCCAGTTGTTAATGGTACATTTAAAGAACTTTTAAACCGTGCTGAGCAGCATTTGAACTGTGATGTAGAAATCCTCACCATTGTTGGTTTTCTTTATGACATAATTAGTATAGGTGAGAGCCCAAGTTTCTTGAAAGAAGCGTTCACTGGAGCCACGCCAAAGAAACTCGCATCAGAGCTGCAAGCTGCTATTGACTCCTGGAAAACCTTGTACCCGAAGCTTGCAGTGGTCATTACAATCCCTTGTGTTCCAGATTTCCCTGTTTACAATACGCTGGTTGCTATGCAGTATTTCAACAGAAAATTACTTGCAAATGAGATTAAACAGATGCAGGAAGCTACTTTTCGTTGCGCCAAATGTATCTCAGAAATTAAAAGTGAACTGAGCATTAACTTTCCGACTTGGGACGTACTGGATCTATCCGAACTGATTACTGGAGTTTGTTTCGACATGACATGGCTTCAGAGGCCATCGTCAAGACTGCCCAAAGAGTACCATACGGATGGAATTAACCTGACCTACTCAGGCTCCAAATGGCTTCATGCCGCTGTACTACACCACATGATTGTCAGGGCGCACAGGCTGAGAAGTTTGCAGGACTCGTACGTTTTGCTGCCAGAGTCCTCAGAGGCTGAATGTCAGATCGCGCCTGATGTCGCTCCCATCACTTCCACTTCCGCTCAAATAACTTCCTCTTCCGCTCAAATAACTTTCACTTCCGCTCAAATAACTTTCACTTCCGCTCAAATAACGTCTCCCTCCGCTCATATCACTTCCACTTCCGCGCAAATCACTTCCCCTTCCGCGCAAATCACTTCCCCTTCCGCTCAAATCACTTCCCCTTCCGCTCAAATCACTTCCTCTTCCGCGCAAATCACTTCCCCTTCCGCTAAAATCACTTCTGCTGACCCTCAAAATTTTGGACCTGGCTCACGCCCTGGCCCATCTTTTGGCCCCCATCCTGGGCCATTTTTCGGCCCGCATCCTGGGCCATTTTTCGGCCCGCATCCCGAACCATCTTTTGACCCGCATCCTGGGCCATTTTTTGACCCGCATCCCGGGCCATTTTTCGGCCCGCACCCTCCCTCATCTCGCTACACACCACTTGACCCACCCTCCGGTCCACACCCTGACCCACCTCATTGCCGCCATGTCTATTCGTCTCCCGGCAGGCAGCCTGAATTGTTTATCATTTACGAATCAATCAATGACCAGCTTGCCACACCACTTAAGTTTGAGCAACAAAATCTGACTAAAATTAAACCGTCGAAAGCCAAGCCGGCTAAACCGTCGAAAGCCAAGCCGCCTAAACCGTTGAAAGCCGAGCCGCCTAAACCGTCGAAAGCCAAGCCGCCTAAACCGTCAAAAGCCAAGCCGCCTAAACCGTCGAAAGCCAAGCCGCCTAAACCGTCGAAAGCCAAGCCGCCTAAANGCCAAGCCGCCTAAACCGTCAAAAGCCAAGCCGCCTAAACCGTCGAAAATTAAGCCTCCCAAATTGTCGAACGCCGAAAATCCAGTGCAAAAAATCATTCAAAAAAATGAAAAATTGGAAGGTAAGATTGCAACAAAGAAGCAACTGAAACGACAGAGGCAGAGGCTTCGAAAGATGGAAAGGAAGAAAGCACAAGAAAATGTTGTGCAGTGAACCTGCCATCGATGAAAATGTTCTCTGGTGGGAATAACATTTCAGACATGTTCTCTCGTACGTATATGAATAACATTTCCGACTTGCTTCTCCGTATATGAATAACACTCCTGACATGTTCCCTCGTATGGGAATGACATTTCAAATATGTTACCCCGTATATTTACGTGTTGGCTGTAAATTCATGTGCCTTATGCTCTCGAGTTAAGTTAGTGAGTTTTTGCGATTCAAGTTTATTTTTCGTTATTCACGTTATCAGTTCCTTAAATTTTGAAGCGACCGCTGTAATTTTTGGTTTCTTTGGCTTCTAGTTCCTTGTTTTCACAGTCCATGCTTTGAAACGGCAGTGATGATGTTCTATAACCGGATTTGTTAAGACTAAAGACTATTTCATTCTCTGCGTTAGCTTCTGCTCCAATCCTATTTTCGCAAATTATTCTTTTAAATTATGTTAATTTTATTCATAACCTGAAAAAATATGGAATGGAGTAAGCGGCGCAAAATATTTTTTGTCTAGTTTTCTCGGCTGTGGGAGATCTTGTTTTATACAAGATCTTGGCGGTAGGAAGTAGTAATGTTCCTACGTGTACTATTTCATTGTTGTGTCTTTAAATTGTTTCAGGTACGAAAAACCACGAATTATTATTCTGTTCAATTGTTTGCTTCCTGTAGATTGGTAGCTTCTGAATATTTTTTTGCTGAACCTGTGTTCGTTGGAGGCAAAAGTTGTTTTTCAGTGACGTTTCTTGAGTGCAGAATAATTTGAATGATTTTTTTTTGCGTTAAAAATAGTTTGTCTGTTCGTTGAAATGTTATCCACGGTCACGATAATGGTGAAGACTGTAATGTTTTCAGCGTAAGTTTAATTATTACAGTTTCTTAGTGCAAACGAATATTGTGATAATATTTTTAAGTTTGATATTCTTACTGGCCTGGGCGAGGCATGTAGTCTTATTCTCAATTTAATTTATCGCTGTCTTGTTGATTTTCGTGCCTAGTATTTTAATTATTATTTGGAATCCTCAATCAGTCCCATTAAAAATATTCCGTGCGACTTTTTGAAATTTTTTGTTTACTAAATTGAAATGAATTTTCAAAGCTGCTAACTTTGTGATTACTCAAGCCAAAGCTGACTAGCGTTGCATCACAATCGTCTATTTCATTCAAAAATTTAAGACAAATATTTTCGAATGATTAACAGAATGTTTCTCTATTGACAATTTTTGAGGTAATTATAAACAATTGCATTTATGACATGATTTGTTTGACGAATTATACTTCTGTTGTATGTCAGCTGGGAAAAATTTTTGGTTATCTTCACTGTTATTTTCTTGCAGTCCTGCTTTTGAATAACCAACTTTTGAAGTGGGAACGTCATTGCTATTGGCCATGCTGAAGACAAAAAAAAAAAAAATCAATTCTGGCTTATGTCCCAAAAAGTTCTGCTGATCTATCAGTGTTTATTATTTCTGACGGCCTGCCATTAGCATCTTTTATAGTGCCACTAGTCGCTGGGGTCTGTGTGATATAATGTGTATATTAGCGTATAATGCGTTTGTAGGCGACGTAAACATGCGTGAAGCCATTCGCTCGTTACCATCGTGAGCTTCGTAGCAAAAATAATCGCCACAACTCGAATATTCATGTGATTGAAAAACTTTATAAATTAGATGAAAAATGTTAATTCAGAACATGCTGGTCGTGAGGCTGTGTATTCGTTGCTCAATTAGATGGTAAGTTGATGAATTACAATTTGGTGGCGCTAATACGAACAAGTAGTTAATATTGCCACAATACTTTTTTCGAAAATATTGCTGAAAATTACAACATGAGGTTACTTGTCCGTAGTACATTGTAATAACCACGAAAATTTTATTTTCGTGATGACCTCGTTGATTCACTTTTTATGAAAATTGAGTTACATATAAAATTAAATGTCCAAATTGATTTCATTATAACCTAGCTCGTCTTTCGCTCTCTTCTCTTCCTATTCGAATTTATGTCTACGATCGTGGATTATTTTATTCTTATCCTTCCCCTGATTTTATTTATGTCCCTATATTTCGTGTTATACATGTTCAAATTTAATTATTGTTTCATCACAGCCGTATTTCATTCATCAATTTATTTACCATTTTTCACACTTTTCGGTGCAGGCGGATTTTCGTTGGACGGCGTAATGGACGACGTCGCCCCCCCGCCCCCGCCCGCACTCCTCATGGACGACTTTTACAGCATCGCCCAGTCAGCGGGGAATATTTGATATCTTACATTTAATTACTACTATGAGCTTGTCTATTGAGAATTTTGTATTAAATATTTAAAAGTCTAGTGGTTTTTGAAATTAAATCGAATTTATTGGCAATGCCGTGCAATTAAAAACTCGTTAGCGACGAAAATTCGTTGATCTTGTGATCGTTGAAGTGACAAGGTGTGTCACACCGCGAAATATCCTGGCTGGCTATTCATTTATATGATTTATATTCACGTATAATGAAAAGTGATTTCTGTTGATTTTAATTGATGATTTTGATTTACTGGCAGGCAATAAGTTCTGATGCTAGATTTTTGTAGTGCTGGATTATTAACGATGCTTTTGATGTTATTGGATAGTTGATCATATCATTTTTTCTGATCGATATTTTTCTCTGACTCCTGCTAGTATTGTCTGCGAGTTGTTCACTTTGGAAAAAGTTTCACTTGGTTCCTTGTTTTTAAAATTCGAATAAGTAAATAAATTAGTGCTCAATGATGAATCACCTGATACTTGTAATTAGTCTTTAAAGACTAATAAATTATAGCAAGTAATCAATTCCCAGACTAATCAATTATAGCAATACCGGTAGTCAATTATCAGACTAATCAATTATAGCAAGTAGTCAATTATCAGACTAATCAATTATAGCAAGTAGTCAATTATCAGACTAATCAATTATATACTAACGACAATCAGCCGTACCTCTGTCCTCGGTGTATTACCTGTCTATTATACTTACTAATAAACCCTACCCTATACATCCCTCTGAGTTCCCTTGAGCACTAACCTCTTCAGCTGTTAGAGTATCCTTGGTTCGTAAATCTTCGGACAGAAAAAAGAACTGTTTCAGGTGTAAGTTTGATTGTCACTAGAATCTATGATCACTATACATTTTTTTGCTTCGTTTAAATTTTTTGTTGATTAAAAAATACCGGGTCAACTGTTTGAAAAACACTTTTATCATATACTTTAAAATTTACCTTAAGTTATTGTTTGGAGAATTTTCATCGCAGAGAATCGCCAGGAGGTTCAGAAGTTCAGATGAGGTCATTCAAGAATTTTTTCGGGTTCGGGGGCGGCCACCAGCCTCAGTCTTCAGAGGCTGACCGCGGCAGGCAGCATCAGCAAACTCACGCGCCTCAGGCATGGAATTTTATCCAAATAATTGTCTCTTTTTCATGACGTTGACGTTGATCTCGTTGAAATTTTTACCTCGAGTGCGTCATCTTAAAATGCCATTCTCTTCGAAAAGTTTGTAAAAATTTACTTAACCTCAAAAAACTGTCGTCTGATTTAAGGAGCCTTTGATACATCTAGAAATTTACGCTTGTCGATAAGGCAGCTGAATGGAGACACCCTTATATGACATTGTTCGGTATCGCTGTAGCTGGATAATTAGGATAATTATTTTGTACTGTTATGTTAGAACTACATACTATTTAATTTCACTATTACTCAATGGTAATGATTTCATGGTTTCATTGTTCCAAATTTCGAAGTGGACAGCCCTGTGCCCCCTACCTCGATTCTTACCCACTACGTATTCGCGGATTTTGGTGAACTTGTGAATTATTGAATCCTTAGTTTCGGATTTTACATTTTATGTGTGCCAAATATTAGTAAACACTTGAATGTATTCTTTAGAATAGACTAGTGAAGGAGTGTTTTTAATGTCAATATAACGATTAAGTGGATGGTATCGTAGGCTGGGAGCGATGGGCGACGCACGGCATCCCAAGCTCCTTCAGATCGCCGCCGGGGACGATCATCCAGTCTTGCGGCCGCCTCCAGGTTGTTTTTACTTACGAAATTGCTCTGATTTCATGAAAACATTACAGAAGTTCAACTAGTCATTTAATTAGTAATTGAACATTTTAACTGCGAGGGAGTTTGTGTTAGCAACTTTTATCCTGGCTAAATCTACTGGGTTTATTACGACTGTGAGGAGAATTTATCCCACTTGTCCACCACTGAACTTAAGTTAATGAAGCTGGCAAACAAATGTTGTATTCTGAATACGAATATTTTTCGCAACAAATTTCATTAAATCTATTCCTTTACGTGTGCAGTCGAGGAACTTTGGACGACAAAAGTGTTGCCGGAGTTCAGAACAACACTACGGGCAGTACCAGCAGCGCCTCCGTTACAAGGGAGCACCCGCCAGTGCAGCGACTGGGAACTCGTCGGTCGCGGTCCCCTGGCAGAAGCTCCTCTGGCTCCATCGACGGCAGCTTTGCCAAGAAAGAGCCGCCATATTCAGTAGCAAAGAGTGTTAGTGTGTGGGTTCTATGCCAGTTTAATGATTTCTGTATCCAACGTTGGATGGTTCTTTAGAAATTATTTGAGTCAATATCTTTCGGAAATTTTATTCTTCTCTTTTCCCCATTGTCGTTAAATAATCTTTGTACTGCAGAATTTCATTCCATAACTTGATTCAAGGTCGTCAACTTCATTTTCACACACGGAAATTTATTATTCGCTGATCTTATTTTTTTGGAATGAACTGCTTCCGATGGCTAGTTATGATGATAGTCAAATTAATTCTATTCACGCATAATCGTCACTTTTTCGCTGACGGAAATTTAACGAGACCCTTATAATATTGATACGTGCTAATACTCATTCGAGTATTAAATTCTTATTATTTACTAATGCTTCATTCGAGGTTAAGATTAATACATGACGAATTCCTAACGATGTTCATGTGCTGGCAGCTAGCTTCAGTCACCTGTGATTGATGTTCTGTGATGCGTGTGCGCAGACGACAGTCACGTCTGAGCAGACGAGTGTGGTGACGTGCGTTACGTTCAGCCCCAGCGGCAAGCTCCTCGTGACAGGCGACGCAGCGGGGACAGTCACACTCTACTCTAACCTCTGTGACAGGTATCAGGTATACGTAGCGGTCATGTTTAGAACTTTTCAGTTTGTTTTAGATTTCAATGCTTACTAAGTTAAATGCTGTAAACTGGGCTGATGCAGAAAACGCCACTGAATATTTATGAATGAATATGGACGTCCAAAAGGTTTGGATCGTATCAATTCTATTCATTTTAATGCTCAAAGTGAATTAAATTAGTAGATCAGTGGTTTACCGAAAGAATTCCTAGTTTTAAGGGTTGATTTTCACTGAAGGATTTCATTTCACCTCGTCCGATGCCAATCATTTGCAACTCCACATTTGGCCTTAACAGTTTTTTTCTGACCTTTATTTCATTTATGGATGCTTCATTTTTTATTGTCAGTTAATTTTTGGTAGTCTTGATGTAAGTTTCTCGGATGTAACGAGTAATTCGTCTTTTCTGCTTGAATAGTTCGAGGATTGATCAATTGGAAAGGATTTCCTACTAAAAAATTGTGTGAATTCTTTAACGTCTGTCAGTTGAGTTGTTTATGTATTAAGAATGTTGTTCTCATACAAGAAAAGGCTGGTTCTTTCATTATTCTTGTGTTAACAGTGACCATCATCTATAACTGAAATGTTTGGAACGCCTCTTATGGATACTACTTAACCTTTTTTTACTTATTCTATTTATTCCGTTTGGTCATTCAACAGAGTTGAAAATTACATATAGCTTTGGTTTGTTGAATTTCATCGCAACCATCGGACAGCGTTTCATATTCCAAACTATTAAGGATTAAATTCTTGCTCAAAATTGTCACCGCTACGCTAAATGGCGACAATTTTATTCTTTATTTTCATTCCTGTATGAATAAAGAATGAATGATTAAAAAGCTGTCGAAATTTAAACCCAACTGGCAACATCGTGCAGTGTGACGTCGCGAGTTGCGGGCGGAGAGGGCGCTGTGCGCGGGTCAGTGGCGGCGCTCGTGTGGCTAAGTGACGCCGACCGTCTCCTGCTGGGGGCCGGCCAGCCTGGTCACCTCCTGCTCTACGACTGCCTCGAGGCCAGGCCCGTCTGGGAGACTGGCCCTGACTGCTCGCCACTTCTCAAAGATAGACGGTAAATCCGATCATATGATGTGGTCTGCTAGTACGTACATATATCCGAGTATTCTCAATAATTTCATTGATTTATACCCGTTTTTCAAGCTTCTGTGAATTAATATTCGATTCCATAGGTGTGGCCGTACACATGCATACTACCATTCAAAAGTACAGGATCGTCAAGTAATTTTGTGTTTTCCATGAAAGTTACACTTATTCACCACCACACGTTGTCAAATAAAAAGAAAATGGAGTCAAGACAGTGAGTGACAAGATTAGAAAAATGATTTTTAAAAACAACATTGTAATAACAATGTAATATCGTAATAACTACCCGCAGCCGCCTCATCACTGTAGATGTTGACACACACTGGTATTTTGCGGGTACTATGCTATGAAGATGTCAGTTGTTGACCTGTGAGGTGTCGGTTTCTCACACTAGAGACTCTAATGTACTTATCTTCTTGCTTAGTTGTGCTACGCGACCTCTCACTTTTTTTACTACTCGGGTTAGAGTCTGTTCGTGTTGTGCTCTAAAGAGAGAACTACACTCCAAAAAAAAAAATTTACAGCTAGAAAAAGCATTGAACATAGAGTGGACAGAGTGTATTTATTTGAAGTTATGACTAGTTTAAAGTTATCTTCATTGAAAAGTACAGTGCTTTTCCTTTAAAAATAAGGACCTTTCAATGTAACCCTAAACTTTTGAACGGTAGTGTATTCTATGGTGCCCTTAACAGGCTTTTGTGTGCGTGTGCTGACCCGTCTTCAGCTCGCGTGCTGCTCAGCGTCGCTCCCCGAGCGTCGAAGAGCCAGGCTGGAATCTCGTCAGCGCAGCCCGCGCTGCTCTCCATTGACGTCAAGACTCGCAACGTCGAGGTGCATTTCTTGCCATGTGATCTACTTGGTACATGAATATTTTAATTTGAATGTTATAGGAGTATTTTTATTCGGTATATGAATATTTAATTCATCGGCGACAGGCCACATCAGGCCTACTCTTTAGCGCCGACATCACTATGTTATGTTAATTGCAGCGCAAATGCGATGTGCTTAGATTTTCTTAAAGTTCCTAGTTCTTTGCCTCAATCGCAATGTGCCGAAAATTTTAAGCGCCACATCGTTTTCTTTTACTGATTGCTTATTGAGGGATATTATTCAATTTAGGACGAGGTCTTGAGAAAATGGTCGCTTGTTTGCAAAGATTTGGTCAAGGTCCCGTCTTGAAGGTCTTTTAATCATCCCGTCCCGTAAAGGTACCGAAAGCAGTGGTTTCATACATAATGGCTCATCTTTGCTCTAAAATTCGTTGCAACTGCAGTTCACATTTTTCTAATGTGTGGGGCAAAGGACTCGTAATGCGGCCTCGCCAAAAATTTTTAGACGTTATTAAAGCTTAATTGAATTGCTGATCTTCGTGTTAGGATAAGTCTCATCGCAATGGAATTTCTTATCCTAAATTACTTTTGCTTATTCTAATAGGTAGTTAATTTTCTAGGAATTTTTTGAGCAGAAGAATATTTGTTAGATTTTGGATACTTGCTGCAGAATGTTCATCAGTTCGGTGCGCGTGGCACCGTGAACTGCTGCGCTGTGAACCACAACGGCAGTCTGGTGGTGTGCGGCTGCAGTGATGGATGCGTGCGAATTGTCGACCTGCGTTGCCTGGATGTGATAGCGACCTGGCCTGCACACACAGGCCAGGTCTTCACTGTCAAATTGTCGCATCATCAGGAGAAGCTTTACACCATCGGCAGCGACAACAAGGTGCGACATGTGACTTTTTTCCTTACTTCGTCAATCATAAGTTGCATCTGTATATTCGTGGATTGAATCAAGTACCTATACTGAACGGTTATTTAATGTGAACATTTTATAATAACAGGTGTTTGTAGGTTATGGTGCCTGCGCAGTGCCAACAGTGGCACTGTGCGTGTCTTTCCCTAACTCATATTCAACGTAAGTTATGTTACGTGCGACCTATCAACACCGTATATTTATGTGGGTATCAGTTGCTGTGCTGGAGCCTCACTCAGACGGGCCAAAAGATGACCGAGCGCGCCCTGCACAAACAAGCGGCAGGACCGTTCATGGTGGGGGGTAGCAGCCGCCCTGTGTTGCTACGGCCGTACGGGGCGCTCTTTGCCCTCACCAACAACGACGAGTTCATCTTAACCTGCTCCGCCTCGGGAACCACCGTTTACGAGGTATGCTATCAAGTGCGATCAATTCTAACTCTGGAGGATCCATTGCATATTATGCTACAAGCTAATTTATTGAAAATAATTCTGACGGCGTATAGGATAACAAGTGAAGTTTTGAAACAGGTACCGGTAGTCTTTAATTTTATAAAGACTTTTAAATTTTATTCTAGATTCCTTGTTACAATGCACACTTAAAATCTGCAGGTAATTTTACTCAAGTATTTCAGTTGACTGCCACGTTCTCATATTCCAGTAAAACTTTTTCAAATAGCGATAATAAAGATAGTATTTTAGCGCATTTTCTCATTTATGGAGAAAATGCACTATTGTGCTCGCCATGTCCGTCTGTCTGTCTGTCCGTCCGTGACCTCAAGTTTTCGTCGACGAGAAAATGCGCTCTCTGTCACTCACTGCAGCGAGTACTGAGTTATATATTTTTTACCCGGTAATGGTTGACGGAACATCGATGCTCACACTTTGTGATGCATTACGTTACGGTAAGATAGGATAGACTTTATTTTCGGTAGCATTACTTTATGGTAAGATAGGAGACTTTTTTTCGGTATCATCGTCTTCATTCTAAGAATTACACGTTATGATGATTATTTCGGGTTGTAGGTTAGGGGCGACACTGCGGTTGTCGTGCAGGAGCTAAGCGGCCATCACTCGGACGCGGTCGTAACCCTGGACTGGCACGGCACAGCGGACGGTAATGGAGAAGGACTGCTTGCCACAGCGTCCTTGGATGGTTCGGTTGTCGTATCGAGCCTTGCTTATGGGGCTTGAATGTATTATATTAGTTTTACTTGGTAAATCCATCTTCCCTCTGAAATCTTCATTTCTGTATTAGCATATTTTCCTTATTGGATCTGAATAATTTTTTGAACTATATAGATCTGAAAATATTTGTATTTTAGATCATATCAACAAGAGGCTGCTAATTAAGTTAGAAGATCTGAGGATAATAACAATAAATACCACACTGTGAGAGAATGATTTACTTTAGTAAGTTGCAATATTTTTCATAGTTGACAAAATTTTTTGTTGTCTGAATTATTGAAATATTTATTTCTCAGATTGAAATGGCGATGACAATCTGTTAAATCAATATATGGCTTCCACATGTATTTAGTCCCTCTTGGATACACCAAAGAAAGATAATGTAAGGAGCTATCTTGTCTCATCATTGTTCGTCTCATTATATTATTATGCAAGTTTAAGTGAAAGATCTTGCAGCTACGGCAGCGAATTATTCCACGCTGCAAGCGTCTGTTCATTTTACTGCAGCTGCTACAATATGGTGGTTCCGTTGATTGGAACATGAAATTTATGATAGAAATAACTTAAAATAAGGTACGTTTCGGTGTCGTCTGTTATATCCATAATATCAATTCAATTGTTTGTACATTTTAAGATTAGCTATTTATTCTACAGCCTATTTCAATAAAGTATTTTAGTACCTTAAACAGTGAATTTCTTGATACAAGGGGTAATTTTTGATAATTGCAGCCAGACCTCCAAGGTCCGCGTATTTATTAACAATTATTTGCTCAATGCAATGCACTGAAGATAAGACAGTAATCCCACAGTGCAGGGCAATGTCTTCATGAATGAGTAGTGGTGCAGAAAATTTGACCGAAAATTTTTTTTGTAGATTTTCACCAACGCGTATCATGCGCGGTAAAAGTGGAAGACTGATACATGCGACAAATTATACGACATTGAAATTCATCTATTGCATTTTTAGCTACAAAAAATTCAAGGGACTGGTCTCTGCAAGACACATTCTTGCCCATTTTAGAGTATGGAATACTGACAAACTCGCAAGGTTCTTTTTGATGATCACTCGCAACGCAACAAATTGATTAGATATTTTATTGGTATTCACGTTTTACTCGGTATATATACAAATACTAGTCACCATTTGAAAGTCGCGGTATCGATTCTCGAAGGCAAAATTTACAGAACAGCGCATACGTCTGTCCAAACTATGCATTGAATAAATTTTATACTTGAGTGGGCCGGTGCCCCGTTTCCGATCTCTCAATTGAACAAGTGTATTGATGAAGTTGATTATAGCTTGTACATATATGATACGAACTATTGCTACCTCACGAAGCCATCAAATGCCGCGCCATTATGACCCTCATGACCTCGTTGGTCCCCTCTAATATGGTGTGCACGCGACAGTCGCGTAAGTATTGTTGAACGGGATAGTCTTTGAGGTACCCATACCCGCCGTGCAGTTGTAATGCGCGGTCGATTACCTGAAAATTACACATTATTTACTTTGGGCTCAAAACCAGAACAAAGTATAACCGATTTAGGTAACATTAATTTGTGTTGAAACTGCATAAAATGTAAACACTTTGATGTTTTATTTTTTAGTCTAGATTCATCTCCTTGGGAATTTGAATCTGGAAAGAATTAATTTCTACCTCAAAACGAACGGGAAATTTTTTTAGTGCTTAGGAAAGAATAATGTCTGTAAAGTAACTTTCTGTACTTGGGTCTTAACCGGAACAAGACTCCAGATTTCATCAGAATTAGCAGACATTGAATAAAAACATTCTTTCTCAATAATGTAATCGACTTGAGAACAGTTCAGATCATTATAAATTGAAATGTACAATACCTGCAAGCAGTTCCTTGTGGCATATAGCTTGGCGGCGGCACAGAGCACCACAGTGTCGGGATGTTTGGTATCAAGAGCGACTGCTGCGTTCCGTACAAGAAGTCGCGACGCCAGCAACTCGGCTGCCATCTCCGCGATCTCGAACTGCGTGTGCTGAAACGCAGCAATGGGACTACCGAACTGCTTACGAGTTTTCGTGTACTCTATGACGGCGTCGAGGCTGGCTTGTGCGGCTCCCACCGAGCATGAGGCGATGTTGATTCGCCCACCATTTAGACCACTCATGGCTATGCTAAAGCCTTCTCCTTCTTCCCCCAGTCTGTTCGCCACTGGGACCACGGCACTTTCCAAATGAACTATACGCGTCGGTTGAGAATTCCACCCAACTTTACGTTCTTTAGCACCAAAGGTGACGCCAGGAGTCTCTTTCGGCACCAAAATGCAAGATATTCCTTTAGGTCCAGGCTGGCCAGTGCGGCACATGATTAAATACACTTCGCTCTCACCAGCACCGCTTATAAATGCCTTAGAGCCTGTTATTGAATAGTAGTCGCCATTTTTTACCGCAGTCGTAGACAAGGACGCAGCATCGGAACCTGACCCGGGTTCAGTGAGGCAGTACGACGCGCACTTCTCCATAGTCGCCAGGTCAGGAAGATACCGAGCTTTGAGTTCTTCGCTGCCGTACGTGTCCAGCATCCACGCACACATGCTGTCCACAATCAACTCCGATCACGCCAAATATCCTCATGCTAAATGGCCGATAAGTAAGTTGAGGTTATATTCAAGTTTTTTTTATAACGCATATTACTGCATGTAAAATAATTTTACATTTTTCGAGTATCAAGCGGCTCACTTGTGTATGCTGAGGTATGCCGTGGTCGAGACACAGCCAAGTGAAAGTGCCTCGAATATGATGGAAGCATCGAGACGTGTAAGGCCCGACCCGCCGTAATCTTCTTTGCAATAGATGGCACCGAAGCCTAGCTGAGCCGCTGCGCGCAGCGTCGACAAAGGGAACTCTTCCTGCACGCACGAGATATTAAGTATACAAGACTTGCAACACAAAACTCTTGCAGCACAAAACTTTGACTTTTTCTATGAAGTGCTCGAAATATTTATAAATTGTTAAATGCAGTCTAATTTTGGAAATTTACGTTGTAATATCAAAAATGCCGTCCAAACAAATAATATTTAGCGATGCAATTATTGGTAAAAGATAATTAAGCAACTCGATCGATTTTCAGTCAACAGAATTACCTTGAATCGTGAAGTTAAAAAATAACGCAGTATCATTAAGCAATTCTTAACTAGTAATGAACTGTCTTAATGGTGATAGCAAGAGCAACCTTCTGGTCCCACTGGGCCATGTGAGGCAGCATCTCGTTGTGGGCAAAGCGCGTCGCCAACTCCTGCGTCGCTAGCTGCTCGTCGGTCAGACCTGCAGAAGCTGAGACACAAAAATACGAGCGTTCATGAAAATTTGTTTTTACTTTTTTATACAAAGAAAAGTGGAACCATAGCTTCTACGAACGAGCTACGATACAAGATGAAAAATAGGAAACCACGTTGCGAAAATGAATTTGCGAATTACGGGATAAAAGTGACACCATAGGAGTAGGGCGTAATTAACCCGATAAAGACTACCAAAGAAATTATTTGTTATTAAAAATCGTTCCTGTAATGTGACGTTTTCTTGAGCAAATTTACAAGAAAGCAAGTAAGCGAAGGAGCATCATGCAGTTACTTTCAAAGTAGGCATTTCACCGACTGCTGTGCGACAACTCGAGTGCATCTTCGCACAATATAGAGTATATGACGGCGGCTGCTCGACAGGTTTAAGCTCCTTTGTTGGAGCAGTTGGAACATTATTACAGCGGCAGAGTGGGCAATGAATGTCTTTTATTTACCAATGCCAGTATTAGCAAGTTTTTCCTTCTGTTCTGTTGTGTGTGT